GTTCGTTAACGAAAACTTAACGAGCTGCCAAACAGCTCAGGAGGCCGGGGCTGGTCGGGGGACGAGGCGGGGTGGGGGGGGGGGAGGGGGGGCGGGGGGACGGGGGGTGTCGGGGTCCCCCAGTGCAGAGCAGTGCGTGCGTCCCTCGGTACCCCGGCCTCGGCCGGCACCGCTGCGTGCCGCCTGTGCCGGAGGCAGGATGCTCTGTGTTGCAAGGCCCCGATTGATTTACCCGAGGAAGAAAGTGGAGAAAAATAAAAAAAAAAAAAAAAAAAAGCAGTTCCCAAAATAAAAAGGCAGCCAGGTGGCTTTTTATCTCCCTCCGGCCTTAATTTAGAAAAACGAGCTGCAGAGGAGAGAAGGGAGCGTGCCGCGGCCAAAACCCGGCGCCTCTCGGCGGGACCGGGCAGGGCTGGAGGGGGGGGAGCTGGGTCGGGCCGGGGCCGGGGCAGCGCTTCATAATTTTGATTAAGCTAAATGCAGCCCGATGGTGACGGAAAGGCAGTGGAGCTGAAGGAGCAGGAACCGCCGTGGCCTTGCCCGTGGCTCCGGCACGTATCGGTGCCGGCAGCGCGGCGAGGGGGGGCCGGTGTCAGTGTGCACCCCCCCCCCCTCCCCGTTTTAATCCCCTCGGGGATGAAAAGCTCACCCGCGCGACCCGAAGCCGAGGGGAAGCTGCAGGCACCCACCCCGTCCAGCCACAGAGGGGTCCCAGGCAACCCCCCCCCCAAATCAGACAAAAGACCAGCCCCCCCCCCCAAATCCCCCCCCACGCTCGGTGCCGGATCGCCCGCTGCCACGTGCGCTCGGTGCACAAAACGCGCCCGGGGAGGGTTTTTTTAGCAGATGTGCAGTCAAGAAGTTAATACAACACATGTAAGTGCAATCTGCACGCAAAGAAAAAAAAAAAAAAAAAAAAAACCACATTACCCGACGTTAACCACTTAGGTCTAACATATGCAAATCTAAAATGGGAGCCGCTAATGAAGGCTACTAATTAGCGGTAATCACTAAACAGTCACGATTTGATTAGCTCAAAGGCAAAAAAAAAAAAAAAAAAAAAAAGAGCTGCAAGAAGAAGCCCACCATGGGGTGGGCTTCTCCGCTCCGGCCCGAAAGTGGGTGATGAGGGAACCCCCCCCAAACCCCCGGCTGCCCCGAGCCGGGGGGGGGGGGGGATGGAGGCAGCGAGGAAGAGCTCGGCGCCGAAGACCGACCCCACGAAGCCGGCTGCTGTCGCCCGCGAAAGGAGGCGGCGGCGGAGAATGACCCTTAAAAATCCACGGGGATTTGAGCAAAAAAAAAACCAAAGCAGCTCTTCCCCAAGAGGAGCAGGGACGTGCCGGCGCCCGGCGCTACCGGGGGGGTGATAAGAAGCGGAGCGCGGCGATTCGGGCACGGCTGCCCGGCACCGGGGGGGACACGGATCGCTCGGCCCCCGGCGTCCCGGTCGGGGCAGGGAAAAGGGGGGCTTTGGGCTTTGGGGTGCCGGGAGGATGCTCCGGGTTGCTCCGTGCCTTTTCTTGCCGCCTCGGCGGTCGAAGAGGCTCCCGGGGGTGGGGGACGCCAGGCACCGCGGGCGCCGGGCGGGACGCTGGAGGGGGGGTGTGGGGGGGGGGGGGGATGTGGGGTGTTGACCTCTTCCTCCTCGGTTCCCCTCCCCAAAACGGGGCTGCCCAACGGCTTCCCTAGGTGTTGGGCGGCCGGCGAGGGGACGGTGCGGGGAGAGGTCGGGCTCAGACGCCGGCCTGCATCCTTCCCCCCCCCCCCCCCTCCCCACCCCGGTCCCGAGGCGTCTCCCCCTCCCGCCGGTCCCGTCCCCGTCCCCACGCAACCCCCCGCATCTCCTCCCGTCCCGAGCGCGGCCGGTTGGGATGGCACCGCCGACGCCGGGAGCGGTTTCTCAGAATTTGGGGAGAGCTTTGGGGAGGGCTCCGGCTCCCCGGCACAGGTCGGAGCGGCCGCGCCAGCCCGGCACGGGGGTGCGTGGCCACCCCGGCACGGGGGTGCGTGGCCAGCCCGGCACGGGGGTGCGTGGCCACCCCGGGGGGTCGGGCGGCCGTCGGTGCGGGGGGGCTGGCGCCGCGTCCGGGTTTGGCTCCGCGCTCAAGGACACGTGTGGATGCGCCCAACCCGCCCGGCGTGTCCCATCGAGGGGACCTCATCGGATGCGCCGGCGCGGGGACACGGGGACAGAGACTCTTGGATCTGCCAAGACACGAGGGGGGCGTCGCCGGATAAATCCCGACGGGGAAGAGAAGCGGGGGGGGGGGGTCTCCGCCGTGCCGGCGTCTCCCCCCTCCCCGCCCTGGCTGCGCCGAGCCAACGCCGGCAGGATTTGTCCCTTGTCACCTGGAGACGGCATCTCCGGCTCCTGTCACCGTCCCCGGGGAGAAAAAGGGGCTTCCCGGGCACGACCCACCCGCCCTCCTTCGTCCACCGGCCTCGGGGGGTGCAACCCCCCTGGCACCCCCACCCTGCGCCTCTTTGGGGCTCCCCAATTCACGACGGAGCGGGGCCGCCGGCTTCGCCTGCTCCGCTCCCTGCCCGCACCTCCTGCCCAGGTGGTATCACCCCCATTACTATTATTTTAACACTTCCAGCGTTTAATTAGCTGGGAATTGAAGGAAAATTATGCATAAATACAGCGAGGGAAAAAAAAAAAAAAATGTCATCCTAACTCCACTTTTATGTGAAGCTCTGCCAATTATGCAAAATTATTCAAGGACTTTTCACAAGGACAGGAGGCTTTTTGGCGGCCAGGCTAGCTGGGAGAAGCGAGCTAGAGTGGATTTCTACTGCTGCTGCGCTTCCCTCTGCTTTTTCTCGATTTTGAGGGGGGGGATTTGTCTTGCCTGCAGCACCGCGGGTCCGTGAGAAGGGAGGCTGCTCGGCTCTGCAGCAGCGGAATGCCTGCCCGCGGGCAGGGCGAGGATGAGGATGGGTCTGGGGAGGGCTTGGGGGGGGGTGGGGAGGAGCAGGGTGCTCCAGGGACACCGGGACAGGAGCCACCGGTTGGCCCGAAACCACGGGAAAGGGGAATTTCCCAGCTTGAGCCAGGGTGGGAGAACAGGAGGCTGCGCCGGAAAACTGGGTCGAATCCTGCGTTTGAGCTAAATCGTTGACTTTTGCATCCCGGTCGCCACGCCAGCCGGGACGCGCGGGAACGGGGAGGGAGGGTGAGGCAGAGCTGGGGGGCTGGCAGCTGGGCTGGGTGGGGACAGCGATGACGACCCCGGGACAAGGACACAGCGACGGTGCCGTGGCGGTGGACAGCGCGGGTTGAGATCCACGGGTGAGGGATGCGCCGAAGCCACCCCACGGGATGCCCCGACACGGGGCAGGGTTGGGGACCGGGGCGCGGGGTGGCACCGAGGGTCCTGCGACCGCCCTGTCACCACGCCCTGCGAGGCAAAACAGCCCCAAAATCCGTGTTTTCCCAACGCCGCTTCCCCACGGAGCGCCGCGGCAAGGGGTGGTGCTGCGCCGGGGAAGGGCAGCGGGCACGGCCGGGCAAAACCGCAGGAGCTTTGGGTGCAAGAAGAGCCCAGGGACATCCCCAGCGGCCGAGGGACACGGCGGGGGGCGATGCCACACCAGCCACTCCACCGCTGCAGGGGTCCCATGCGATGGCACAGCACCGGGCCCGGCCGCCCCCGGTGCAGCACCCAGGGCTGAGTGCCCCCCGCCAGGCACCCACGTTTCCCCGGGGAGAGGGAAGGGGGTGCCGGGGCTGAGCGCTGCTGCTGCACCCGCTGCACCAAGGGGGTTCGGCGGCGGCACGGGGGCTGCGGGGCCACGGCTGGGAGGGGGACGGACGGACGCCGTGCCACCCACAGCACAGACACCTCCGCCCCTGCGTCGCTGGCAAGTCCTGCTGTTGGGGGCCACCGGCACCCCAATATATCACCTTCCCCCCAGCCTGGCTCCTGCCTCCTGTCGCGGGCATGGCGCCGGGGAGAGGCTCCGCTTCGGTGCCGGGGAGCCGGGAGGGATGGCAGAACCCTCCCGTCACCCCGACCCCCCGCGGGACCTGGGGGTCCCTGATCCCGGGGCGGGGAGGGGGCGTGGGGGGGCCAGCGGGAGGAGCGCGCCGAGGCTGGATTCGCAGGGAATTGTTTGGGCAGGGGATTATTTTGGCAGCGGCGAAGCACCCGCTGTCAGCGCGGCGCGCGCCCGCATCCATCACGCCGCGCAACTGCTGACACGCGGCTAACGAAGGCCTGGCTCGATTCGCAGAGAACTATTAAAGATTAAAAAAGATTAACAAATCTTCATAAAAGCCGTGATGTATGAGCCTAATTTGGTTTGCGGGGGCCCTCCCTCTCTCATCCGGCTCCAAGCTTTTTGCTCGAGGCCCTGATTGAGTTACGGGGGCTCCTAACGATCCCGGCGGCAGCACGGCCCCGGCGCAGGGACCCTGCTGGGAGCGGGGCTGGGGGGGGGGTCGGGGCAGGGAGATCCCACCAGCTCCGATTTGTCTCAGTTCTTGCTGGCAACCTCACCAGCATGTGGGTTTTTAAAAGCCTAAAAGGCAGCCGAGCCCCAGGGAGCCGGCGGCTCTGCCAGGGGGGGTTCCCCCAGGAGCGGGAGCCGGCACGGGCAGCACCCTTCGCCGTGCCCCGTCCGGTGGGGACCCCACAGGGACGATAAATCTCTATTTTCTCCGAGCAGCGGACACCGCTGCAGACCCCAAGGGCCTGTGAAGGCAGGAATTGGGGTGCCCAGGACAGAGCCCCGTCCCCCCGAGGACACGAAGGACCCTCTCGACAGCCAGGGCATCCGCCACGGACACATCCCCTTTCTGCTGCTTTATGAACGAATCCGGCACGGCCGCGGCAAAACCCCGCGGGGTCACCTTCGTCGCCGATGCTCGGGGTGATGCCAGCACGAGGCAGGCGGTGAGACCCTCCCCGCTGCCCCCGCCCCGAGAGGAGAAACCCCCGGGAGAAATCTCAGTTCACCCTTTTGGGGTGCGCCGGGGGTGACAAACTGCTTCTGCAGTGGCACTTGGGGAGCCCCAGAGGAGGAGGAGGAGGAGGATGGGTGCCCTAACTCTGGCTGGGTGTCCCGGCTCCTCTGGCGCCCCGTCCCGGCAAACAACGTCCCCCGCGGCACCGCCGCTGCCCCGCCGCGCGCCGGGGGGGGGGGGGGCCCTTACCCCGGAGATGTCGGCCACCCGGTGAATCGGCACCTCCTTCTTGCTGTGCAGCCCTTTGCCGTTCTTGATAGCCCTGCAAAAAGAGAGGTGGCACGAGACATCAGCGCCCGCCGCGGCTGGAAGGGCCGGCGTTGCCCCCCCCCCCCCCCCCCCCCCCCCGGCTCGTTTAGCCCGCTTGTCCCAATTAGCGGCCTCCGGCGGCTCACCGGAGCTCAGCTCGCACCCGAGCAGAGGGACCACTCGTCCCCGTTACCAAATTAAATTGCTTTGCTCCCCGCACAAAGGGAGGGATCGACAGGAAGGCGAGTTGCCCCGGCACGACGCAAAATTAACACACCCGTTTCTTTCAGCGCTTAATCGCACGAAGCATTTTTTAAGTGCAAAATACGCGGCGAACGCTCCAATTCTAATGGAAATAAGTTCCCTTCCAGGTTAAAACGATAAAGAGACGAGAAGGAGCCTGGATGAAGCAGCGCCGCGCGTGGAAGGCGCTTCGTGGCTGGAAAATGGGGCTGCCCCGGTTGTGCGGCGCGGTGCGGAGCCAGCTCGGCTGTGCCCGGGGAGGAGGGTGCAGCACCAGGATGGGACCCACCTCTGGTCCTCACCCCCCCCCCCCCCCCAGCCCCTCCCCGGCACCCGGGGTGCCCCCGCGGCCACGCGGCGCTGGGAGAATCGGGGTGCGGGCTGCCCCGGCGTCGGGCCTGCCGCCCCCGGCAGCGGATTTATTCGGTTTTCCTGGCGTTCCCAGCCGGGCTGGCTCATGGCCGGGGGCGGGAGGGCCGGCAGCGGCGGGCGAAAGGGCAGCGCACACATTCATCAGAGCTCCTTCCCCTGGCAGGTTTGTCCTTTTCCAGCTTCCAAAGGCCAAGCTGATTTTCCAGGAGTCGCCGGCGCAGAGCGGAGGGTGAGCCCGCTTGGCACAGCCGGGGCGAACCCCCCAGGGATTCTGCAACTCTCAAGCTGGCTCAGTGGGTTTTTGGGGGGGGTTGGGGCTTTTTTTTTTTTTTTTTTTTTTGGAGCTCCTCAGCACCGGGGTGGTGAATCCAGCAGCCCGTGTGGGGCTGGAAACCAGGGCCCTGCCCCACATCTTGCCAGCACCCGCAGCCGGGCCAGGCGTGGAGACTCCAAAGGATGCCCGGAGCTGGGGACCCCCCCCCCCCCCGGCAAAGCCAGCTCTGCTTTATCGGCGCTGGTCCCCTGTCCCCAAGCACCACAGGATGTCCCTTTGCAACTGGGGGGGGGGAGGGGGTGGCGGGGGGGTGGCTGGCAGCAGCTCAAGCTCCCCTCACCACCTCCCGTCCCCCCGCTACGAGATGCTCCCGGCAGTCAAGCGACAAGCCGCTGCGCCCCACGGTCCCCCAAATTCCCCCCCTTCCCCCCCGGCGCAGCCCGGGCTGCCGGGCCCCAGGCTCCTGCAGCAGGCTGGAAACGAGAGCTCCTAATAGCCGCTCCCAGGCAAGAGGCAAGAATTTGTTCGGAGTGGACCGTGATGATAATAAAAATACAAGGGGAAAATTTCAAAGCCCCTGCCGAGGCTTTGTACAGCAATCAATGTGCTGAGCTGGATCATTCGAGGAGCTGTCTGGAAGAAGCCAACCTGTTAAATCAGCAAAAGGATTTCTTCTTTCTCCCTCGCCCTCCTTTGAGATGCCCCTCCCCGCTCAACACTGCACCCCGGGACAAGTGGCTTGGGCCAGAAATAGCTTTTTTTTTTTTTGGGGGGGGGGGGAAAAACAGCTCCTTCCCCAGGTTAAGAAGGACGACAAAGTTAAACAAGGGCCGTAACACCCGCCAGGCTGGAAAGCGCTCCAAGGGCAGCTGGGGATGCTCGTCCTCGGTGCAGGGATGTGGGCGGTGTGACGTTCCCCCCCCCCCCCCCCGGGATGTGTCCCCGCTGTCACACCCCCCCCCCCCCCCGTCGGGCTCCAGAGCTGCTTCTCCTCCTTGCCGCAGGGTTTGCCGCGGGGGAGTAGGAACAGGCAGGGCTGGGGCAGGCAGGGATGCCGGCCGAGCCCGGGGCATCGGCGCGCGGTTCCGAAGCGGCTCCGTGCCGGAAAATGAGGCTGGGGGAGGCGGGGGGGGGGTGGGGGGGATACAGACACGACACACGCACCCGCTCCAGGAAAACCCCGTGGGCTGGGGAAACTCCTCACTCCTCACCCCCTTTCTGAAGCACCCCACGGAGCAGGCACCGGCACCCCAGTGCGAGGAGATCCGACTCCAGCTTTTGCTAATGAGCTGGGGGGGGGGCGGTGTTAAAAGGATTTTGCAACCCCCCAAACTGCTCCAAGCCTCCCCCCCCCCCCCCCCCCACCAAGAACTCCAGGCCCTGCACCCCAATCTCACCCCAAATCCCCCGTTCCCCTTGGGAGCTTGTTTCTTCCCCCCCCAGCAGGAGGGCGGCAGGACGAGCCGCCCCCACCCCCCAGCACGACCCCCTCCGCCACGCTCAGGGACACCCCAGCGCCCCGATATCGGGGGCAGCTGAGCCGCCACATCCGAGCCCGGGTCATCCCGGTGCCCGAGCGCCCCGAGATGCTGATTTAATGCCAGGCACGTTCCCCGTGCACATCTGGATTGTGTGCGGCTCGCCCGTGCGTGGCTGGCCCGTGCACAGCTGGATTGTGCCACAGCTGGACCGTGCACAGCTGGACCGTTCCTTCCTAGGCTGTGCACAGCTGGCTTGTGCACGGCTGGACCGTGCACGCCTGGACTGTGCAGAGCTGGACTGTGCATCCCCAGGCAATGCACAGCTGGACTGTGCACAGCTGGATTGTGTACAGCGGGACCGTGCACAGCTGGACAGTTCATTCCTAGGCTGTGCACACCTGGACTGTGCACGGCTGGACCGTGCGCACCTGGATTGTGCACAGCCGGATTGTGCACATCTGGACTGTGCAGAACTGGACCATGCATGCCTGGACTGTGCACAGCTGGATCACATATTCCTGGGTCATGCACCCTGGACTGTGCACAGCTGGACCATGCACAGCTGGACCATTCATTCCTAGGTTGTGCACAGCTGGATTGTGCACAGCTGGATTGTGCACAGCTGGATAGTGCACAGCTGGACCATGCACACTTGAACTGTGCAGAGCTGGACTGTGCATCCCCTGGCAATGCACAGCTGGACTGTGCACAGCTGGACCGCGCATGCCAGGACGGTGCACAGCTGGATCACATGTTCCTGCATCATGCACCCCAGACTGTGCACAGCTGGACCGTGCACAGCTGGACCGCTCTTGCCTGGACTGTGCACAGCTGGACCGCGCGTGCCTGCACCCTGCACGCCTGGACCGTGCATCTTCAACTGCGCACATCTGGACTGTGCAACTGCAGCCGTGCACACCTGGAGCACCCACCCCTGGAGCACCCGCTCCTGGAGCACCCGCTCCTGGAGCACCCACTCCTGAAGCACCCACACCTGGAGCACCCGCTCCTGGAGCACCCACTCCTGGAGCACCCACACCTGGAGCACCCACTCCTGGAGCACCCACTCCTGGAGCATCCACACCTGGAGCACCCACTCCTGGAGAACCCACACCTGGAGTACCCACCCCTGGAGCACCCACTCTTGGAGCACCCACTCCTGGAGCACCCACTCTTGGAGCACCCACTCCTGGAGCACCCACACCTGGAGCACCCACACCTGGAGCACCCACACCTGGAGTACCCACCCCTGGAGCACCCACTCTTGGAGCACCCACTCCTGGAGCACCCACTCTTGGAGCACCCACTCCTGGAGCACCCACACCTGGAGCACCCACACCTGGAGCACCCGCACCTGGAGCACCCACTCCTGGAGCACCCACTCTTGGAGCATCCACACCTGGAGCACCCACTCCTGGAGAACCCACACCTGGAGTACCCACCCCTGGAGCACCCACTCTTGGAGCACCCACTCCTGGAGCACCCACTCTTGGAGCACCCACACCTGGACCACCCACACCTGGAGCACCCACACTTGGAGCACCCGCTCCTGGAGCACCCGCACCTGGAGCACCCGCACCTGGAGCACCCACTCCTGGAGCACCCACTCCTGGACCACCCACACCTGGAGCACCCACACCTGGAGCACCCGCTCCTGGAGCACCCACACCTGGAGCACCCACTCCTGGAGCACCCACACCTGGAGCACCCACCCCTGAAGCACCCACACCTGGAGCACCCACTCCTGGAGCACCCACACCTGGAGCACCCGCCCCTGAAGCACCCACACCTGGAGCACCCACTCCTGGAGCACCCACTCCTGGACCACCCACACCTGGAGCACCCGCCCCTGAAGCACCCACACCTGGAGCACCCACTCCTGGAGCACCCACTCCTGGACCACCCACACCTGGAGCACCCACACCTGGAGCACCCGCTCCTGGAGCACCCGCACCTGGAGCACCCACTCCTGGAGCACCCACTCTTGGAGCATCCACACCTGGAGCACCCACTCCTGGAGAACCCACACCTGGAGCACCCACCCCTGGAGCACCCACTCTTGGAGCACCCGCACCTGGAGCACCCACTCTTGGAGCACCCACTCCTGGAGCACCCACACCTGGAGCACCCACACCTGGAGCACCCAGTCCTGCAGCACCCACTCCTGCAGCACCCACTCTTGGAGCACCCACCCCTGGAGCACCCACTCTTGGACCGTGCAGCCCAGGGCGCGGGGGAAGCACCCACGGGCGTTTTTCTCACCTCACCCTAATTACGGGGGGGGCCGGGACGCGCCTGGAGCCCTTCGGCACACGATGATTTTGGCGGCAGCTCACGCCGAGCCAGGAGTGCTCGCGGCAGGGAAAGGACGCTCGCCCCGGGACAGACGGACGGACAGGGAGGCGGCGGGGCTGGGACAGGGGGGACGCGGCGCCACCGGCACTCACCGGGCCTCGGCGGCCAAGAGCTCGTCGTAGTGTGAGGATCTTTGGTCGTCGTCTTGCCGGTAGCGGATGACGGTGGCCAGGCCCTTGCTCACCAGCGCTTCGGCGATGTTGCTGCGAGGGAAGAAAGCAGGGGAGGGGGTCAGCACGCATTTTGGGGGGGGGGGGGGGAGCGGAGGGGCCCGTCTGCCTCAGCACCCATCACGGCCAGACCCCGCCACCCAAAGGGGTCAGACTCGCCGGGGGGAGAGGAGACCCCCCCCGTTTCACGCCGCTGGCCAAGGGAAGGTGCTCGGAGCAACATTTCCCAATTAACGGGGATTTCTGCGCCCAGGCGAGGGGTCCCTGCGTCAGCGTGCAGGAGCCGGGCCGCCACGGGGGGGGGACCCCACGGCAGCACCCCAAACCACACACACACCCCCCCCCCACAACAGCGGGGTCAGCGCCCCCCCCCCGGGGGGCCGCGGGAACCTCCTCCTCGATTTTTACCCTTTTTCCCTCCCCGCCACCCGCCTCGTCGGAGCGGGGAGCGCGGGCTCGGGGCCGGCTGCCAGCGGGCGCCGCGTGCCGAGGCGGCGCGGGAAATTGGCTGCCATTACACTCTGCCGCTTTAAACAAATTCATAAATTCTCCTTCGCTGAGCGCATCTGTAATTCTCCGCCAATTACACAGGCAAGACATGGACTGCTAATTCACTACTTGAAAAAAAAAAAAGGCGTGTATATATATATAGAGAGAGAGAGATACAGATATATCTATGTGCAGGGGGGCCTGATCCACTCGCAAGCCCCGGGAGCGTCCCCTCTGCCCTGGAGAGGGGGAAGGGCAGAGCCATCACCGGGAGCTGAAAATAGGTCTCGCCTCGGAGCAGAGGTGAAAAAAAAAAAAAAAAAAAAAAGAAAAATAAAGCTTTGTAAACGAGGAAATAAGCTGCAGCAGGAGGCAGCTGCAGAGGTAGCGCTCGAAATGCCAAGCAACCAGGAATAAGCACCTACAGCTATTTTGGGCACGAACAGGAGGCTGTGCCGGGGGGGGGGAGGTGAGCGCAGGGCTGGTGGCCCCCGCGGTGGCCCAGCGGCCCCCCGACACCACCGTCTGCCCCCACCTCGGGGTCTGGGGAAGAGCCGGGTGCCAGGCTGCGTCCCCGGGAGCAGCGGGGCGCAGCCTGAGGGCAGCGGGCAGGATGCGACCCTGTGAGGGACGCGCTGTGGTTCCCCGGGACGCTGAGGGGGTGACTCGGTGGCGGGAAGCAGCAGCACCCCAAAGATCTGTAAATCTCCAGGAGGTGCCCGGTCGAGCTCCTGCCCGCCCAAGGCTGCTGGAACATCCCGCCCTCCCCAGCAGCTCGGTGCCAGGCTGGCAGAACCCCAGGCCAGAGACTCCGGTGATGGGCACGCCGCCTCCATCCTGCCCCCCCCCCGCCTCCCCGTGTCGGGGTGCTGCAGCTGCACCCCCAGGGCAGCACAGCCCCGGTGTCCCCCACCACGGGGACAAGCCCCCAAGAGCAATCACAGGCAGGATGGCTCCTTCCCGCGTGCTCACGTCCCCCCCCAGACCCCCCCCCCCCCCCCGTGTCCCATGTCCCCACCCGGGGGCTCAGGACCGTGCCGCTCTCCCGTCCTGACGGGATTTCCATGCTCATGCAAAGCCTGGCTGGATCCAGGCTGGGGGGGGGGGGGTTCCTATGATCCCCCCCCCAGTTTGCAACTCCACCAGCCTTGTACCCTGCACCCCATCCCCACCCATCACCCCATCCCCATTTTGGGGACGAAAAGCAAAGGCTGGGGGGGGGGGCAGGATCGGGGAAGGGCGGAGGAGATTAAAACCCAGCACGGAAAGCATCAGGAAACAACTGTGCCAGCACGCGCTCGGGCTGCTCGCTAAACGGACAATTTTCTTCTGCCCCCAGCACTGGCGGAGCGCTGTAATCTTGCTGCCACCTCTGTTTGATGGCTTCATTTATTCCGCAATATCACGGTTATGGCTTTTTTAGCAGACAAGCAAAATTGCCAGCGTTTGCTCCCACCGCGCTGCCGGGTCCTAAAGGGAGCTGGGATGGGCTGGGGATGCCCCCCCCCCCCCCCACTACCCACCCCCCCCCCCTCGGCTTTTTGGTCCCCAACGGGCTCTGCAAGAGGGGACGGGGGGACCCGGCACAACCTCTGCTTTAGACCCAAAAGGTGCCAGTCCCAGCTGCTGCGCCCCCCAACCCCGAGCATCAGCCACGGTGCAGGAGGTGCCCGAGGGGGGGGACCCCTCCTCAGTGCCAGCATAAACCACCCCCCCCCCACCCCAGAGCCTCCCCTCCCGCTCTGCCGCAGCCCAGCTCCCATTAAGGTTTCAGAGACGACATTCCCGTGGCTGCCGGGGACCGGGAGCCGGCGGGAGGTGCCGGGTGGCCGCAGGGCTTGCGGGGATGCTGCAGGACCCGGCTGCCTCAGTTTCCCTTCCCCAAGCAGCCGTGCTGGGATCCTGCTGAGCTCCAGCACCGGGCACCAGCTGCTCCCCCCAGCAAACGCTTCTGCTCCGCCGCAGAGCCCTGCGCCACCTGCCAAGGAGAATTAACCCCTGCATCCCACTCCTCATTCCATCTGCATCCCGCTCCCCATCACAGGCTCATCCTGCTCCCCATCCCATCCCCACCCTGCTCCCCATCCCAGCTGCATCCCACTCCCCATCCCAGCTGTATCCTGCTCCCATCCCAGCCTCAAGCCGCTTGCCATCCCATCTGCATCCCGCTCCCCATCCCAGCTGCATCCCAATCCCATCCCATCCCATCTCTATTCCACTCCCCATCCCAGTCTCATCCCGCTCCCATCCCATCCACATCTCACTCCCCATCCCAGTCTCATCCCACTCCCATCCCAATCCCAGCCTCATCCTGCTCCCATCCCAGTCTCATCCCGCTCCCCATCCCAGCTGCATCCCACTCCCCATCCCAGCCTCATCCTGCTCCCCATCCCATCCCCATCCTGCTCCCCATCCCAGCCTCATCCCACTCCCCATCCCAGCCTCATCCCGCTCCCCATCCCAGCTGTATCCTGCTCCCACCCCATCCCCATCCTGCTCTCCATCCCATCTGCATCCCACTCCCCATCCCAGCCTCATCCTGCTCCCCATCCCATCCCCATCCTGCTCCCCATCCCAGCCTCATCCCACTCCCCATCCCAGCCTCATCCCACTCCCCATCCCAGCTGTATCCTGCTCCCATCCCAGCCTCAAGCCGCTTGCCATCCCATCTGCATCCTGCTCCCCATCCCAGCTGCATCCCGCTCCCATCCCATCTCCATTCCACTCCCCATCCCAGTCTCATCCCGCTCCCATCCCAGCCTCATCCAGTTCCCCATCCCATCCACATCCCACTCCCCATCCCAGTCTCATCCCACTCCCATCCCAATCCCAGCCTCATCCTGCTCCCCATCCCATCCTGCTCCCCATCCCATCCCCATCCTGCTCCCATCCCAGTCTCATCCTGCTCCCCATCCCAGCCTCATGCCGCTTGCCATCCCATCTGCATCCTGCTCCCCATCCCAGTCTCATCCCACTCCCATCCCAATCCCAGCCTCATCCCGCTCCCCATCCCAGCTGCATCCCACTCCCCATCCCCATCCTGCTCTCCATCCCAGCCTCATCCCGCTCCCCATCCCAGCTGCATCCCACTCCCATCCCATCTCCATTCCACTCCCCACCCCAGTCTCATCCTGCTCCCCATCCCAGCCCCATCCTGCTCTCCATCCCAGACATCCATGCCCACCCCTGCCCCATCTCCCCACACTTTAATCCCCTCCGCTCCAAGCGGATCAGCGGCTATCCCCGGCACCAGACTCCAGAAGCATCCAATAGGCGTGAAATCAAAGTTTTCATAATTTCCAGCGGTCATAGGGCAGCAAGCGTTAAAATCCCAGAATATGGGAATTAACGGGGGCTCATTCAAAATCGAATGTCAAACCCCCTCTGCCACCAGAGCGCCGGGTGAGCCCGCCACGTATCGCAGCCTGGTTAGAAGGAAAGAAATCCCGATTTCGGAGCGGGTTATCCAAGCTCCCAAACAGGGAGTTATCCGAGCCTCCGAACACCCGCCGTGGGGAGGGCGGTGAGACCGCCAGGCTCTCCCCCTTCATCCACCCCTCATCCTCCTCGCCAGGGCACGTGGGAGCGTAACGGGGCGACGCCGATGGGCCTTCACTTGGGAAGTTTGGCGAATTTCAGCCAGGACGAGGGGATTAAACCCACTGTCCCACAGTGAAGGGGCTGCCGGGGGCTCGCCTGCTGGAGGGGGGGGGGTGTTTCTCCTGCATCCGCTGCGTCCGCTCCCCGGCAGCACGGCAGCTCTTCCCCGGGGGACCGGAGGCGGGTGGAACCGGTGCCCCCACATCCCTCCGAACCCTCGGCTGGTGCTCACCAAGCCTCTCCTGGCACGGGAGCCGGCTGGCACGGCGCTCGTGTGTGTCCCCCCCCCCTCCGACACGCCGAGCCCTGCTCCTCCAAGGATGCCAGGTCCTCCTCGGAGCTCAGCTCCAGCGCACGCCGGTGAGATAAGAGAGGCAGCTTCTCCTCCGCCCCGGCTTCGCCGGGCCACTGGCGCCTGCAGCCTGCAACGGCCCCTGGTGCTTTGGGGAGAGCCCCGGGAGGACGGGGAGCTCCCCCCAGCAGCGCTTCGGCCCCATCCACGGAGGCCGTGCCGCCCTCAACGACAACCAAACGGCGGGACGGTGCTTGGCCAGCGCTGAGCACGACGCCCTTCACCCTCCCGGTGCAACCGGGAGAGCCGGCTCCGGCGCTGGTTCACCCTGGCAGCACCGCTGCCCGCAGAAGGCACTTCAGGCCCAAGGGACCCCCGATGTGTCCAGGAGAAAACACCCCCCCCCCCCCCATCTCCTGCCCTGGCAGCACCGGCGAGAAACCTCCTCCCCGGGACTCGCACCGAAGCCGGGGCAGGGACGGCAGCGCCCGGTTGCACCATTAAAGGGTGCGAGTGGCTTAATTCCAAGTCCCCGAGCTTGCAGCCGCCCCGCTCCCCACCCTGCCAGCACCCTGCCAGCACCCTGCCAGCACCCTGCCAGCCCCGGGGCGGGCACTGAGCTCTGCCAGCCCTCAGCCGGCTCACCGGCAGC